GGGAAGCCAGATTTACTTAACAACCATGTTTATAACTTAACAATCACAGTGATTCATTTAACAACTGCGGCAAAAAGGTCATGAAATGGGGCAAACTTATCTAACAAACGTCTCTCTTATCAACAGAAATTTTGGGGTCAACTGTGGTCATAAGTTGAGGAATAACTGTAATAGTAAATATCAAATTATATGGGAGCTCCATAAATTTCCAAGCATGATATTCACACAGTGTCTTTAACAAGATTTATTGAAAAGAATAAGACTATAAGAATCCCAGCAATTTAACAATTTCCCATTTAGAACTAAAATATTCTAGTGTACATTAAAGTCTGCAAACAGAATCTGAGGCGGCAGATTTTTCAACTGATAACAGAAAAACTTGCAGAACCATCTCTTAAATCTTTTAACAACTCTTGCAAGGAATAACACAATGCACAGAGCTCATAAAAAGTTTTCTGAGAAGAGACAACCGCGAAGACTGAAAAACTCAAGCACATGACTATTCAAATTATATAGTGAGTGCTTGATTAAAAGAAATTTTGCTGGTATCACAAAGATGTTATCTACCACACTTTCACATGGAGCGTGCATGGTCCACATTAAGAGGAATTTAAAGTTTGACAAGTTAATTTCAAGGACGTCAGTTAGTAGACTGATAATAACAGTAATAATAAAGACCTCACACTGTTACAGAAAAGATGATGTTATTCAGCGATGTGGAGACAGGCAAACTGATGAAAAACAACTGGAGAAAAATAAAACTATGTTTGCACATCAAGACTGGAAGATTATGTAGGAAAAATGGAATGTAGTATCAGTTATATCGAACTCTTGGTGCAATACCCAAAGGACTCACCAAATATTTAGAAATTATAAATTTACTGGCTTTAATACTGCTAATTTTACAAAAGATGAATCTACTTGGAACAACATAACATTTCAGGGTGGTAACTCTCTAACTTTTAGGTGCCTGGTTAGTCCCCAAATAATTGAAGTCAACACACTGTTGATTAGACAGTGATCTTCATTTGGATGAATAGAGCAATAATAATGCTTCAAGGATAAACTTACGAAAATTCATAAAGAACAAGGACATTTCAATGACAACAAAAAGACCAAGGATAACTATGGTGTTTCTAACGGAAGTTAGAACACGTGCAGAATGTACAGTTCTGACAAGTGAACAATAAGCCAGGTGATCATTACTGACAAACCTTGAGTTTGGTGACTGTTGCTATGTGTTTCATAGATCGCAGCAAAAAAACAATCAATTAGTTGGATTGATCCCTTGGGATCTATTTATTTATTTACATGCCCACCCATGACTCTAGGCAGGTATAATAAATGAGATGATTAGCCTGCAAATAAAAATTCACAAGTTTTGGGCATATGATGCAAGCAAATAAGACGTCCGGCAGGCTGGAGAGCAATACTTTCAGGCAAATGGTTGTCCAATCTCTTCTTAAAAGGAGACATTTGTTTAAAAGACCTGTAGGCCATTAATGAAGACTGGTTGAGATGGCAAACATTTGTTCATGTTTGTTATAGTTACAAACTAGTTTGTTATTAGTGGTCAGACTCAGAATAACGAAGTGTGAAGGGACCTTGGAGGTCCTCTAGTCCAATCCCTACTTAGGCAGGAAACCCTATACCACTTCAGACAAATGGTTATCCAACATCTTCTTAAAAACTTCCAGTGTTGGAGCATCCACAATTTCTGGAGGCAAGTCGTTCCACTCATTGTTCTGTTAGGGAATTTCTCCTTAGTTCTAGTTTGCTTCTCTCCTTGATCAGTTTCCACCCATTGCCTTTTGTCCTGCCTTCTCTATTTGAAGAATAGATTGACTCCTTCTTCTTTGTGGCAGCCCCTGAGATATTGGAAGACTGCTATCATGTCTCCCCTAGTCCTTCTTTTCTTGAAATTTAGACATACTCAGTTCCTGCAATTGTTCTTCATATGTTTTATCTTCCAGATCCCTAATCATCTTGGTTGCTCTTCTCTGCACTCTAGAAAGAGAGTCAACTCAACTCAATGGCACTAACTAGCTCAAACAAAATGTCATATGTTCTTTAACTCTCCACTCGATATTAAAACCACCCAGAGTTGGAAAGCATAGAAAACTGTTATGATGACGACAATGGTTGGTCACACAGTCAGTCAGTTATTTAGACTGAATTTGGCATTTTTATCCAATAGTTATTATTACTATATTCACAAAAATGTGAAATCACAGCTGCCAGGTTTGTAGCTGTGCTGGCCTTCCTATGCATCAAGTTCTTCCTAGGACACAGGTGTCAAACCATGGTCCATGGGCCAGATGCGTCACAGGCTGGCCACGCCCATGCCCGGTTTAGTGAAAAGTTGCGATTTGACACTCCTGTCAAATGTCCATAATATATTGGTATAATATACAGTATGTGTGGACTACTACTACTAATTTATTAATTATTAAGAACAGATTGTATTGTTGTATAAAATTAATATAGAAGAGAAAGAACCGGAGAAAATAACAAAATACAAAGTAAGCAGAAGTAGAACAACTATGGCAATAAAGCAAGGATAGTACCAATAGCAATAGGCGCCTTGGGTGCAATCCCCAAAAAACTGGAGCACCATCTGAACATCATTGGCATTGACCACATCCCCATCAGTCAATTGCAAAAGGCAGCTGTCCTTGGAAAAGCTTACTTCTTGTGACAATGCCTTTGAACGCCGTAAACAATATCTCCCTATCCCAGGTCCTCCGAGAGGACTTGGTAAATGGATAAAAAAAGCTAAATCTAGTCTAAACATCTGGATGATTGTGAGAATCAAAAGTGTTCTATGACCAAAGCTGCAGGGGATTTTGTTGTTGCCGTTAACCTGACTTAAAACCAATAATGGCTAACTGTAGACCTACAGATGCGCAATGCTTGCATCTCAAATCATCCAAGACTCTTCTTCACTGCTTTCTCGTGCCTTAAGCAAAACATTAAGGATATAAATATGTTTAGGATTAGCATTTAGTTCATTGTGGGGTCTTTAACTGGGAGGAAGGGCAGACAATTTGGTTTAATTGTTTTTTTGTTGCAGAAGAGTTATACAGAGGGAGGAGAGAAAGAGGAAATAAAACACATATGAAGGTCTTTGTGCCACACACAGAGAGAACGCTGTGGTTAGGGCTTGTTAGCATTCCCTACAGACATGGAATTGATTCATACTGAAAATAGATACCCAAACAAGCCGGGTAAACCAAATGTGATTTCTATCTCAACTCAAGGGAAGGCCAGTCCATACATTGTTTATCAATGCATCAGACCAGACATGCGCTGACATTGTATAAAAAGTAAAGTAAAACTGGACGTGCAGCTGCTATCGAAACGAAATGAAATCTAATTGCCAATGTTCACAAAATGTGGTTCTTGAGATGAATTACGATACTTTTTCATGGGATTCACCAAGGAAACGAAAAGGCAATGCGAATAGAATAATTGACATGTCCAGAATCACAGCTTTGAAAATCTCACTTGGGATTACAGTTGAAGACATCACGATCTATGGGACTAAACATAGAGCCAATCTAGTGTAGCAGTTAAAGCACCAGGCTAGAAACCAGGAGACTGTGAGTTCTAGTCCCACCTTAGTCATGAAGGCCAGCTGAGTCACCTTG